GAGCAGGGTGGGTGGGTGGGTGGCAGAGGTGTTTGCTCCTAGGTCCCGGGTTCGGATTCAGCACAGGGCGGGTGGGCCGTGACCGCGTGCTGACAAAGGTCAGACGAGCGAGCGGGCCCCAGGCCGGCGGCCTGTGAACGGGGGTCCCGGCTGCACTGAGATGGGGGGGAAGCCAACGCAAACCGTGCGGTCGCAGGGGGCTCGGTGAAACTGCCCGTTCTCCTGCATGCGGGGAATGCAGCTCCCCAGACTTGCTTTGCCCTCAGTTTGGCACCGAACCTCTGTCCCTGCGTCTCATCGGTGTCTGTCTGTCCATCCCAGAGGCAGCCAGACCAAGAACCCCAGACTTCCCCTGGCCCCGCCCGGCTAGCGACCCCTTACCTGCGGGCCCCTGGGACCCGGGTTCTCCTCTGGTCCCTGGCACACCGTTGGTGCCCGGCACGCCTGGTATCCCCGGCTGGCCCTGGAAGAAGATGGCCTTGTCCTTCAGCTCTGCAAGAGGCCGAGAAGCTGGTCAGGGGGAGGCCAGCGCGTGCAAAGCCTGGCACTGTCCTGCTGATCTCTGGGGCCTGGGAATCGCCCTCGCCACTCCCACCCTGGGCTGAGACACCCCGGCTCCCAGCTCGCTCCACCTCCGATAGCCCTGGCAGCCCCTCCAGTCCCCGCCACCACTCACGGATACAGCTGCTGGACTCTGCATCCTGTCCAGAGACGCCCTGTGGAGCACCAGCCACCAGCCCCAGCACCAGGGCCAACAGCAGCCCTGTCCCCAGCGCCATCCTGCCCTGCCTCAGCCGCCTCTGATGTGAGCAGCTCTGCCCTGAGCCCTTAAGTAGCGACGGTGAAAGGGGCAGCACGGGGATGGGGCGGGGGGATGCCCTGCGGCCAGCCCCGTGCGTTGGGCAATGCCCAGAGCCGCGCGCGGGTGGTGCAAGAGCGGAGTTTTCCGAACCTCCGGGTTCACAGCGGTCATGCGGAAAAAGCAAACACCTGAGTTGTGCAACCTGCGCGCGGCCTCCCTCGGACCTGCCTCCAACCCCAGCCCCCACCGCCTGGCCCTTTCCCTTCCCCGGCCTCGGTTACGTGGTGGTGTTCCGGGCAGTGGGCACGCTCTGCCCCAGAGGTGGCTGCACTGCAGCGGTGGGTCCTGGTGTGGTGGGCAGGGGGAAGCCAGGGCTGCAGCTGTTCCCAAGCCTGCCCAGTTACCATCCCCAGCTCTAGGGCATCCCGCTCTGGGCCCGAGTCTGCCCTGCAGCTGGTTGCAAGGATGTCACCCACCCTCGTCCCATGTTCCCAGGGCCTGGGGGGAGCTCCGGAGACCAGGCTTTGTCCGCAGGCCCGGCCCTGCCGCAACCCCTGCCAGGACGGCGGAGCTGGGCTGAGCACTGGGAGGAACTCGTCACGCCGACTCGCCGCGCAGCCTGCTGCGGCTCCCGGCGCAGCGCTGGCTGCAGCCTCTGTGCTCCCGCAGCTGATGGTAAATGGGGGTGAGCTCCCCAGAAAGCCCAGCACCAGTGCAGACCCCCCAGCTGCCTGCCCCCATTATAGCTCAGCAGAAGGTCCTCTGATCCCAGCTCCCAGATGGTATCCGCTCCACCGCCCCATGAAGCCGTCTCCCCCAGCAAGACAGGGCTTCCTCCCAGCCTGTGCTCTTGCCAGCACCCTTCTCTGGAGGGCAAGGCAATGCCCACGGCCAGGGCCAGACTCTGCCGACCCGCGGGGCCATGCCGGCTGGAGATAACCCCGAGTCCCTTCCAACTATGAGACCCCCTGGGAGGAAGGGGGACGGGGTAGGGTGGCTCCCAGGACTTGCTGACCCCTGCTCCAGACACGCCCCAACAAACCGGGTGTTTTTTCCCATTACATTTATTGCTAGATCAGTCACATGCATGACCCCGAGACTCAGCACCTTGTGCTTCTTGGTAGGAAGCAGAGGTCCTGGCACTGCAGCCCTCCCATCAGCACCCTGGGGCCCTGATTCGGAGTCTGGGGCTTGCCACCCCGGTGCCGCTTCACGCACTATTGGCTTCATCCCTTGGCATTAGGCTTTGGTACATGACCCACATGGTCCCCAGCCCAGAGGGCTCTTCCTCTTCAGTTGCTTGTGGCTGCAGGGGACTAGATGCCGTGAACCCAGGAATAGCCACTACGTGGGGCAGACACAGGCCACGCCGGCGGGCAGCATGTCAGGCACAGCTGATCAAGCCAGGAAGGGGTAGGTGGCCGCAGTGGCCACGCCACAGTTGTTGTCCCTCATGGCCATGAGGATGTAGCCATCGTTGCCCCAGTACGTGGACCAGGAGTTCTTGATGAGCCAGTAGCTTTCCCCCTGCAGCACCCCGTAGCCCACAGCCAGCACGGCGTGGTCCAGCTCATTGAGCTCATTGCCTAGGGAAAAGGAAGGGAGAGAAAGTCTTATTCTAGTAGAAGGGACGTCTGCTTGGCCTGCGTCAACGCTGGCCACTGCTGCAGGTGCCGGCTGGGGTCTCTGCTTGGAGGGGAAGCCGCCAGCCACCTCCCGTGTCAAGCCCCAGCCCTAGGATCTGCATTACTGTACAGACCGGCATGTTTGCAACAAACAGCCTCCTGCCCCCGACCGGGAAGAGCCCCTGCCCCGCTGGTCTGCAGAGCCGCGACCAGGCTCATCCCCAGCAAGCATCAGCCGAGCTGCCGTGGCACGTCCCCGGGGCCTGTGGCCCCCCGCCCCGGCAGACCCAGGCTCACCGCAGGCAGGCTCGTAGTAGACGCCGCTGGAGTAGAAGGCAAAGGACTTGTGGGAGGCATCGATGTTCACGGCCACGGGGCCGTGCTTGTAGAGAGCAGCTTTCAGGGCCGTGGCATTGCCGGCGGCCACGTTGAGGTAGCCGGCTACTTTGGCGACGGGCTCAGACTGATTGGAGTGGCAGTACCCGTTCTGGGAGGGAAACGGGTGGGAGATCCAGGGGACGGATCTGAGCTCCCCCAATTTGCCTGGTTGCTGGTGCAGCGCTAAGTCCCGCCGCAGAGCTGCGGACGGGCGGCTCCCTTGCATAGGCGTTATCCCTGCGCATTAGTGCACAGCAGCATTCGCGTCCCACGTGCATCCTGGAGCCATCGGAGCGCCCCCACGCCTCCCCTGAGCTAGTGGCCAGGCCCCTTTCACAGCCCCGCTCCCAGCAGCATTGCAGCACGCGACAGGGCTCTGCAGAGGAATGGCTGGCTCTCTCCCCCGGCCCCAGACTCACCTGGCCCAGGTATGGCCCGTAGGACTCGGTGCTGGCGATGCCGTGCTTCATGATCCACTCGTAGGCCTGCCACTCCTCGCCCCCGTCGCAGGCGTGGTTCCCAAAGCCCCAGGAGCAGTCGATCAGCGCTTGCTGGGACAGCGGGGTCAGCTCGCCGGTCTGGGGAGGGGCAGGGAGAAGGCGATGGTGGGCTCCCAGGCGAGAAGCCCAGCTCAGCCTGGACAGTGGGTGGCTCTGGGCGCCGTGCCCTGCCCACCCCACTCCCCTCTGCCCCCAGGTGCCCGTCTCACCTGGAGGAAGAGGGCCCCCTCCAAGGCCCCCGTGGTTGCAAAGCTCCAGCAAGAGCCGCACACAGCCTGGTCCTTCACGGGGGTCACGGCGCCTGGGCAGCGAGGGGTGAGACCAGCATGAGCTTGCTTTGGAGATGCACTCAATGCTTCTGGCATCGGATCGGGAGGGGATGGCTCTGCGGAGACCCCCCTCCTCCGGCGGGTCACCAGCCCTGCCCGGGCTGGCACCTGCAACCCAGAGCCGATGCTGGTCCCGCCCGAGGCGAGGGGAGGTAGCAGGAGACTCGACCCTGTCTAGGGACCGGTTGTTCCAGGGAGATGGACGTCTTAGCCCCTTTTCAAAATGCTGGATCCGCCCGCGGCTAGGGCCAAGCCAGGCTCACTCACCGTACAGCCGCCAGTCCAAGCTCTCGGGCAGGATGAGGCGCCGATACCTGTGCGCCGGGAAGGGATGCCCGTTGTTGCGCGCCCCGCTCTTCAGCCGCCCCCGCAGCACGGCCATCTCCTCCGGCGTGCGGTCGGCCAGGTGGTTCAGCGCCAGCTTGTAGGGCAGGTTGGCCCGGTTCTTGGAGTGCACGTACCTGGGGGCGGCGAGAGGAGGGAGAGGGGCCCATGGGACCACCCGCCTGACTGCTAGTAGCCCTGCGAAGACCCCAGGCTCCCAGATGGGCAAGGAGAAGGGAAGCTCTGGATTTGCACCTGCTGAGGTTTCAGCTTCTCAAAGCTCAGCCCAGCAAAGAGCCCAGGACAGGATCTGGGTCAGGGCCCGTGGGCTGCTAGGGGACACGCCGAGGGCAGTCAGCCCTAGCCCCTGCGCATGTTGAGCAGCCACCCTGCATCCCTTCAAGATGAAGGGGATGCCTTCGTCTTGCAGCCCGACAGCCCCCGCGGCCCCCAGCCCGTGCCTCATGTTGTGGATGAAGGCATGCTTCCGGTGCTCCAGCTCCCTCTCGCCGCTGTAGCGCTTCCCAAACTTCTCCTGGTAGTGGTGGAAGAGGTGGTGATGGGCTCGGTCTGCATCGCCGCTGCGCCCAACAAACTCCTGCATGGGGTTAGCCATGATCCAATGCTCCGGCCCAGCCCCCGGCCAGTGCTCGCACGTGATCCCTAA